GGTGGGAATTTGATTTACAATGGAGACCCAAGGGTGGGGAAATTGACATTTGAAAACCTGAAAATGTCAAATTTCCCGTGGGTTGCCCGGCCCCCCCATCCTGGGGCAAACCATTGATAGGTGCATTAAAAACACAATAGGCCTAATTTGCACAAGAAAACAACAAACTGAAGGATTCTGGTAGTTGTAGTAAAAGCGAGTCGACATCGTGCAATTGCCATATTTACTGCATACTAGCCCGAAGAATCCATGCCAACCACTGCACTGATCTTCAAACAAAACGTCCCACTTTTGGCTGTCAAACAAAGGTTTGTTTTTAGATATCGTGTTTAAAAACATGATATTTATATTTGGGATTTTAAGGCATTTAGTTCACTTATAAATCTATAAATATGCGGTGTGTGTGCCTGTTGAAGTGGGAAAGATATAGTCCGTTTCAAGCTTGGTCTAAAAGTGCTCGAACTGTCATATCATCTGTTCATGCCTCGTAGGTGATTTTAAGCTCGTATTCGACCGTACGCACGGGTTACAATATCCCCCTTAACTAGCATTTTAACGGGCATTTTAACTCTTTCTTCAAAGTCACGGCGAGGAGGTCGCGGGATCGGAAGTCGTTCCCCATAACCAATTAATGCTTTTACTTATGAGTATTCTCTTCGCTCTTCTCAGTTTTCAGTGGGTTAAGTCATATCTATTTTGCATTAAAGACCTATGGAGCGGACTTTGTAGGGTTAAATATTTCGCCTATAAATGTAATTGAAGACAATGGACTTAAAAAGGCGCGAAAGTGAAAGCATGAAGACAACGCTATTTCTGGTTATTTTCGAAATTTGATTATGTCATTTCGCTTCCGTCCACCAGTCGGTTAGCGTCTGCAGTTGGCAGTGGACTGAACTTAGCAAACTGAACAAGCTAAAATTAAAGTAACATAGTGAAGAAATGCAGTGTCCCTAACTCTTTCGCTAAAATCGCGTGATTTGTGGAAAAAATTCACAAGATTTGCGTGAATTATTACGCTATTTATAAATAACATTTAGAACATCCACACGCCGCGACGGCTCCCAAGCGTAACTTCTCTCGTGCCTAATCGATCAGTTTCTTCCTTCACTTTTACTGTCTTTAACGAATTATCACTTAGCGTCAAGTTGGAAAGATTAAAATAGGAATTTTTTGCGCGAAAAATGAGCGGTAAAATAATCATGAAATGTTCAGCTTTAATATTCGGCCAACTCAAGATCATAATTTATTCACTATTTGGACTCTATATTCACGACGATCATAATACTACAGTAAAAACCCGCGTTTAAGAAACTGTTAGGCTAAAATTTTCATTTTAAACCCGGTTTTCATTAGAACTTATTTAGCCTAAGATTTCAGTAGGTTTTTATTTTACAAAAAATGAAGGCACAGATAAAAATACAGAAAAAAGTTTAGTCTAGGTTTCAGTCAGTAAAATTTAAAATGTAACACAGCATTTCATGGACACTGCAAGCATGAAAAACATGCATGCTAGTACTTTGGAAAGAAAAATTCACTGTATGGTTATCATCTAAACTGTATTCTAGATACAGCAATATATTCCATATCACATATAGCCTGTGACGATAAGTTTTGCCCTTCCAAGCGCAAATCGGGGAAATAAGCGTTAACAGAATTCGAGCGTCTTCGGCGTGTGAACTCGTCACTGTTCCACGGCCGTACTAAGAACTACTAAAACTGGGAAACAGGACAGCACTCAAACTTGGACTTCAACAGTTTGATCTTCAGCTCGTGAACGTAAATCATATACATGCATGTAAATCTACAATGTAAAATCGAAAAACAGCGATAACAGTGTTCTATTTATACTAACAGACCAACTTACTACAACATCTCAAAACAAATGGAAAGAAGGCTGAATAAAATCAGCTGATGACTGAAAACGAATCTGGATAAATTCAGCTTTAAAGTTCATATATAAAAACTGGACAACTCAAAATTAAAGGCCAGTCAAGGAAATGAATTTCGGAAACTCAGCGGTAATTAAAAGCTGTGTAAAAGATTTTCAGGTTTCCTTTGCTCAGGATCCCTCAAAATGAAAAAAAACTAAAACGGTTGGTATTTGAACAGGAGAAAGATCCAGTTGTTCAGTGACTAAGCTGTATAATTATCCAAAAACAAATCATGCTTTCAACATTGAAGTGAAAAGTGCATAATTTAAGGGAACTAAAACAACTCAATGCAAATTCAATGTAAATTAAGGCTAAAACAACTTCAAAAGGAATATTTAAATGCTAGATATGAAATTCGAGGCAGATAAAGAACATAACAACATAACATAACATAATTTATATAGCGCTAACTCCACTAATTGACCAAAGCGCTTAATACATGGAAAATCTCTCCTTACAACCCAGTACAGTAAAACCTGTATGAAGAGGACACCGTATTAAGTGGACAACCTCTATTAAGCGGACAGTAGCCGAAGTCCCCAAATTTATTTCCCTTTCAGGGGCGGATCCAGGATTTTTTTCAGGAGGGGGTGCACTCGTCTCTTGCTCTACTTAAACACCAATAAACCACATAGTTTTTTTCTTTTTTTTTTTTGGCAGAATAAGGCACCCCCTGCACCCTCCCCCTAGACCCGCCCCTGCCTTTTTTACTTTAAATAGAACCTTTATTAAGCGGACACCTCTATTAAGCTGACGCGGACACCTAAAAAGTACCTGAAATGGTCATTTGTATCATTGCAAACCTGTATTAAACGGACACTTGCAATTAAATTTCACCACTCAACATGCCAGACACCAGAAATGCGAAAGATTGCCACCCACAAATTTTTCGATTTTTACATTAAAAAACGTGACTTGAGGAAAAAATTTGATTAGTTTCACATTTCAGCATTGTTTTCTGTTTCGTTTTGTTTGTATAGAGCTTGTTTCACTCATCTGAATTCTTCAAATTTGAGTTGCAATCTATGTTTATGGTACTATGATCAATTGGTCCTCTTTAATAAAGAAATTAATGCAAATGTGTATAGTGATATAGACTCTGGGAGTATTCTAAACGTTTCCACTGTTCATTTGAATGGCATTTTACACCTCATGACGTTATCTATCGAAACCCGTATTAGGCGGACACCCTGTATTAAGCGGACACTACAGCATTCTCCAAGGGTGCCCGCTTAATACAGGTTTCACTGTAGTAATTATCTGACTGTGCTGTGCTGTGCTTATCGCTAGTGCCCTTATCAAACTACTGGAGAGCCTTTTAAGAACCTAAGTAGCTTAAAATCCCACTAAATACGATCTCTACAAGAACATATCTAGGCTACGTTGGAAAAATCTAGGTTCTTATTCGCGTCAGGTTTTTACTGTATCACAAGTCTTGACCTCTTTAAAGACTTCTTAAAAATAATCATAGGCTTGTCGCTTCTGTTTCGCTTCTGAACACTCATGTCGTTCGAATAAAATGCAACAATTTTAAAATGAAGCAAAAAAGACTTATAAATCTACACTAAAATTGCTTTGTTGTCTCAAACGTCGCGCGATTCTGCGTATATATGTCATATGCATATCAAGTGTCGTAATTAAATCTGCAAATCAACATGACTCTATTAACATACAAATTTTCAATCATATATATAATCAACAACTGCGTTGAAACACAGGAAGTACGTATCGTGTACGCAAAGAAAGCACCGAAAAAAATTAGTTTTCCGCTCCATTTTTAGTTCAGACTTCCTGCCAGCCTCGCGGACGGGCTTTCTTTATAATCGCATGCACTTCATGAACAGCATAGATTTTCATCTTCTTAGGGGAAAATCCAAACCTTGATTTCCGAATCCAAAGACGTATTTTGGCTTCTTTTGGGCAAATCCAAAAATGAATCGTGAATCCATAAAAATCAATCCACACTCTGGGTGGATTTCTCAGATCAAATTTTGAGATTCGCAATCCGAGCCGGGTTTTCTTTTGGGAAAGGATTTGAAAAAAGTATTTTTGACAAGCGGTTTTCCGGACAAAAATGGTACACAACAGATGTGATGTATGATATTCCTATGTTGGTGGCGCCTTAACTTAGACATTCTCAAAGCCCTTCGCTTCTTTCCAGGCCGAAAACATAAAAATTTCTAGCTCGCGCTTTACGCTCCAGAAAATTTGGAGGTCGACTTGTAGGCAAGTCTAGCCTTAACTCTGAGCCATTAGTTACACATATCATTCCGTTTTGGATTCTCCCAAAAAGCGCAGCCTTGGTGTTTAAGAAATTTAAAACAGACTGAAGATCAACGTTTGCGTGTATGTCGCACTTACTCCTTTTTACGAAACAATGAATTATATTAGGAATAGACAGGCCGATAGACAGATAGTCGCACCGGGCCACTTACTTACAAATCTCATGGCCAATTTCGATTAATCCAAGGCGAAATCCTCTCATTCAAGTTGGTTTTTTTTCTCTTCCATTTTTAGTTTCTTCTTTCATTTTTTAAACTCAAGTCGAAAGGAACTTGCTAAAACGTCAAATACAGTGGAACCTAGATATAACGAAGGGCCAAGAGACAGGCAAAATTGGTTCGCTATAACGAGATTTCGTTATATCGATCAAGGTTCTTTTTCATAAAGGGTGAAGAATATCTTTCGTTATACCGAGGACTTCGTTATAGTACATAGAGGTTCGTTATACCGAGGTTCCACCGTGTACTCCATCAATGAAGAATTTTATTGTTTAGATCACGACTTAAGACTAACTTCAAAATTCGTCTCAAGGTGGTTGCACTGAAATTTGTAAACAAACACTCCATATTATTAGACAGTTTGTCACATATGTGAACACCTCGATCTCTTACTTGTATAGGTGGACACTTTTCCTGGCCACAGTGATGTCCACTTACATATCGAGAGGTTTTGACTCTACATAAATAGCTGCGACAATAATTGTAATTGACTGTTTAATTTTTGATTGCAACTTTATAGATTAATTATATATTTACATACTTTAGGTAAATCTTTAACTGAGACTCAATGGCGCAGCATCAAGACCTTAAAAGAAAAGGAGGTGCTGATCCCGATCATCAGATGTCAAGAAATCATGCCCCTCCTCCTTCTCTAAGTATTGAAGTGCCTAAAATGAGAGATCTTCCAAACAAGTCAAACCCTTGGAGTGATGTCCAGCTTCCTGTTGACATTCTTCTGTCGACAGTAGAAGACATCGAGTTTTTAGCTTGTTATTATTTCTTGGAAAATTCTTTTAAAAGTTATCACCAGACCCTGGGATACGTTTACTTTGGGACCATGGGTGAAAGCGGAGAAGAGGCACAGAAAGTTGCGTTAATGAGATGTTGTAAAGGTTCTTCTGGTCCAGGTGGCTCTCAAAATGTTATTAAAAATGCAGTGATGCAACTGAGACCCAAGGCTGCTTTTTCCGTAGGCGAATGCATGGGTTTAAATCCAGAAGATACTAAGCTAGGAGATGTAGTGGTATCCTCTAAACTTTCAACTGAACAATTCACAACTCCAGTAAGAAGAAATATTGGCAACCTTAACTTGTCTTCAACTGAAGGCTGGAATCCACCATTGAAAGATCCAGTAGGGGAAAAAACAGTACTGGTACACCGTGACAGTGTCATATTCAGTGGTAGTCAATTCATCACCAAACAACGCCGCATGTCTCAATCGTGCGAGATTGCAGTTGAAGGGGAAGGGGAAGGTAAGATTAGATGCATATAACTATTAAAACAATTTGATATAGCATTCGATTTGAGGTCTACAACTTTTAACTGTCCTTTTCGGCAACATCTTGTAACTATGACAGAACCACTGATAGGTCCAATGGTGTGTGAGCAGGTTATTCTGGTGATGTACTTTACACTTATTGTGCAGGGAACATAAATTATTGAGCTTAAAAGATTAAGAAGTTTTAGTCACTACACTGCAGAGAAAAATCTGAGCTTTTATCTCCTCTAGATTCTTCTTCACAGTGGATTGAATAAGGATCATTTTCATATTGTATGCCGGTCTGTTTTTTCTTTCCACTTACAGGACTGTTTGCTGCAGCCTATGATATGAACATTGAATGGCTGATTGTTAAAGGGATATCACACTTTTCTGATGATAACAACACTCCTGATGAGTCTTGGAAGTCATTTGCTTCCATTATGGCAGCTTCTGTTGTGTCCAACATGTTAAATGATCCTGTTGTTTTTAAAGAATGGCCTCACTATGAAGGTATGTCACATCCCTGCCTGTTCTAAGAGACTGATTATTAATAGCGATGAATTTTCTGTTGAGATATTTTTGTGTAAACTGGTTCAATATTAACCTTGGTTCAAATCTTTGTCTCTGTTTCAAACTGAAATCATATATTAACATTGAAATATCAAAATCAAACGCCAAGAAAAAAATTGTTTTTAGGGCTTTTCAAATATATAATACTTTTCTTCTTTACAGACTCAGACTTGACAGCAAAAAATCACCCAGAGACAACCACAAAGCCACACAAACAGATACCAGGTAATATTCTGTCAATGTAATTACACTGTCCAGGAGTTTTTCCAGATCAAATGATTGAACACTGGTTTCAGTAGAATAAACACTAGACTTTAGATATAGTTGTTTGCCGCATCTTAGAGCACCATCATGTTTTCTTATTATTGTGAGATATGTCTTTGACAAGAGAGCAGCCTATTTTTGCCTGCTATTTATAACTCCTTTATTTTTCTTAGAAATTTTGCAGAAAAATGCCGCTTGAAGCATGCTGATCCATTCTCTACTCACTATCTGGTCAAAAAGATCCAAAACTTCCTAAAATGCGTTAAGTCCAACACTACGTACGCTGCCTTTTGTTCCTTATGTTAAATAGAAGTGTTGTTTTGAAAAGTGACACAGCCTTCTCAACTCAGTTTCCCCTGTTCCCTTCTCTCTTCCCTACTCCCTTCTCCCTGCCCCACTTTTTTCCTTATCTTGGGGATTTTGTTGGCTTCTTTTTGGTGAGACATGTTTTCAAGAAGTGAAACTTCTTGAAAACATTTCTGTCTTTTTTTCAGCTGTGTTTGTCATGAATTATTTCAATAATTCAACTGTCTAGGGAAATTTACAAAATTGAAAGGGATGTTGTAGAGGGAGGGTCCACTCCCACACTTTTTGGTGTTATGGTATGGTCTCAGTCTATCTATCCGCCCACCCACCCACCTACAACCTACATGTAACCTCAACAAAACAACCTATGACCTGCTCACCATATGCGTCGCCCATAGCTCCGTGCTTCTAGCATCCTACTTGTATCTGGAAGGTTGTGGGTGTGATTCCTGCTAAGGGATCGGATTTTCAGCATTTCTTTGTTGTACCTAACATTAATATTTTATTTCTAGCAATCATTCATCCACGTGCCATTTTCTCTAATTTATTCATGTTTCTGTAAATTGACTGTCTGCCATTCCTGGTAAGAATTGCTAGTGAAGTCAATCAACTACGATAAACTAGTAGAAAAACTTTTTGGAATTGACGAAAAGTTCTTGTTAACAGATGCTGTATGCCTTGAGGAGTGCCAGAAACAGCTGCGATCACTTTATGAAACCAGTAGCAAAGTCAAAATCATTCCATGGGACCAGGATGCTGCTGTTGATATTGATGAGATCTACACAGACTTGTCTTGGGTCAAGGATCACAGGAGACCCAGTGGAGTAACACAAGAAAAACTTAACCACTACACTGAGATTTTTGGCAGTAGAGGTTCTCTTCCTGCGCTAAAGCGAATTTTGGTTTATGGACAGCCAGGTAAGTGAGTCAATTGAGTAATAATTGTCTTATGCAACTAGAGTGTAAGTACGTGCCGACGACAAGCAGGAACACAGGAACTATTCGTTTACTGGCATAATACATCTACACACCTGTTAGCGAATGCAATGGTGCAGTTTTCTTGAGTGTTTTGCTGACATCTACATTCCAAGTGGGGTAATTTTTTTCGATGCTGTCAAACCCAATGGAAAGTTTGGTCTGTTCCTGTGAAAAATAAATTAATAGTTTAAGCAAAGTTCTTTTAGAACAATACATACACTGTAGGAATCAATTAATGCCGTAATGATGGCAATTTCAGATAAAATTATCTGAAATTTAAGTTCATTAAATGTATGGTAATATGTATGCAATCATAAAATTGTACCACAACCTTCACAGTAGACTAATGAGTGGCAGTTTGGCCCAGTTTTTTGAAGGCGAATCGCGCGCGCTAACCTGGGGATAAAGCACTGTCTTAGATAATTTTCTCTATTCTTTTAAGAGTATCTAATAATCAAATTGCAGACAAAAGGAATTAAACTCAATTTGCTTTTGAAGCTTTCATATCTGAATTCAAATTTCGCACTAACCTAGATAACCCAGTTTTGAACAACCATGCAGGCCCCAAATAGTCTGTGTATTTGAAACTTTTGTGAAGGATTCATTTCCATTGTCTTCATCATGAATAATTTTGAATACGTAAATTAGATACCATTATCGATGAATGTAACTCTGGTCTTTAATCAAAGCTAAGAATTCCAAAATACCCCCTTAGAGGCAGAGAAACATCTTTTTGGAATAACCTTAAAGGCAAAGGCTACCCTAGTGTTATTCACTGTGCATATGGCATAAAAAGTTTAGACATAATTCCGTAAAAAAATATAATAAAATAAAATAAATACTCTTAGACGGCGAGCGGTCGTCCTTTTTACTGCTCGTAGTTTTATGAAAATTATAAATTTTAGATTCCACTTCACGTGTCGCCCCATATAAGGGAATCCAAGACAGCCTTGGATTCTGGATTGCACATCGTGGATTCCGGATTCCAATTACTGGATTCCAGATCTCTTTCATTGGAACTTCTGGAACTTGGATTCCGGATTCCGGATTCCAATTGTTAGCGGGATTCCGGATTCCTACAGCGTCATTCCGGATTCCAAGGCACAGGATTCCGGATTCCACATAAAAACCATTTCCCAGATCATGGAATCCGAATTCCCTTATATGGAGCGACACGTGACTTCACATGATTCTGTTGAAGACTTATTGATAGTTTGTTCATATATGTCACCTAGGTATCGGCAAGACTGTTTTCACGAAGAAAGCAACTTTTGACTGGTCCCGGCAGAGATATTCAGAAACATTAGGGGAATTTGATCTTGTCCTTCTGGTGAGATTACGTGACGTTAGTAATCTCCAAGATGTTTCGTCAATTCTGAGGGCTTCTGAAGTGCTGGATAGTAATGGTGCAATTTCCGTAAACAACATGTATGATTACGTTTGTCGCCATCAAGAAAATGTCTTGCTTATCTTGGACGGCTACGATGAGTATGTTTACAGTTCAAAAAACGAGTCGCCTGTCTTCAAAATCTGGAAAAAAAGCCGATTGAGAGATTGTTGTGTTGTAATTACTTCAAGGGAAATGAAAGCTGAGACGTTGAGAAATTTTAGTGATGCTCAATTTAAAATTGACGGCTTTAATGATCAGCGCCAAGAAGAGTTCGCTCGTAAATTTTTGAATGATGATGAAGATGTGGGAGTCTTTTTTGAATACTTGGAGGAGCACGACCTAAGAGAACTAGCACAAATTCCCCTTTTGATGTTAATGTTGTGCTTACTCTGGACAAAAACAAAACGCGAAGAACTACCAAAAGAACGCGCAGACATCTTCGCCCAGTTTGTTAAGACTTTGTTTGATCACTTGCGTGAAAAACACTCTGCTGAATCAGTGGTTGTTAAAGATTACTCAGATGAATTATACGCATTAGGACGCTTGGCCTTTGAAGCCCTTTTACAAGGACAGTTTTATTTCCCTGTTAATCAGTTACCTAGCTACATTTTGATCGAGAGGCTGATTGAAGTCGGCCTTTTTCAGGTTTTAAATGTGGCGAGTTTGAATCCTGAAAAAGGCGTGTACTTTATTCACAAATCCGTACAAGAATACCTTGCTGGGAAATTCCTGAAAGAAGAGCTGACATCTAAAAAGGCTGAAAGTACAAGTTCCCTCTTAAAGTTGGACTCAGTTAAAAAGATCGAAAAGATGTGCGAGGTTTTAAAATTTGCTGCTCAGTTGTCAGGAGAAGCTGCGCGCGAGATTGTGATTCACATTGGAATGAAGAGCGAACCGACAGAGTTCAGATTCGACAACGAAACACCGTCAAAGGAGGACTTGTCAGGGGAACAAACAGATTTTATTAATCTTTGTAATCAGTTATTTTTCTCCTGCTCAGCTGAGACAAGAAAAAACCTCTTTCCTACATTTCTTTCTTCCTTAGGAGGAATTCTTGTAATTAGTGCAGAGCAGCTAAATGTTATCGTACGTGAAAATTTAGTTCAAACTGTCGAAACACTCAACTACGTTTTTTTCAATAAACACAATTATAGAATTTCTACAGAGCAGGAATTAGAAATTTATGGTAATTTAGAAAGGTTATCACAGCAATTAAACGCAGTTATTGTCAGCTGTGGAGGAGAAAAGAAAGCATCAGAATTCTTAAGCAACTCAACATGTCGTAGCATAGATGAATTTTTTTTAAAGAAAGAAGAAAACAACACTCACCTTTATTTAGCTCAAATTTTAAAAAATACGTTTAGCGACATTCCTTTTCTTCCTTCTATAACTAAGGCGCTTATTAGTAAACAGGACACAACAAAGAAGACAAAAGTGAATGCTGATAAGTCAAGTGAAGAGAGCAGCAGCACCTATTCAAAGCGCCATGGTCTCTCCAGGGTGCGGGAGATTAATGCTTGGTATGTGGACAGGTCAGATGTGGAACTCTTGAGTGGGATGATGGCGTTTATCACCGCTCCACACGGGATAGTGATTTATGGTCAGAAAGGTGAAGTGTACGATGCTGAGGTAACAGGGTCTCTGATAAGGAGCATGCAACCAACACACAAACTGAAGATATTAGTACTCCATGGTATCAATGTAACATCATCACCTGCTGTGGAGTTCATCAAGAATTTATTTAAACAAGCTCCATACTTGGAGGTGCTCAGCTTGTGAGTCAATCCTCTTCTGGGTGAAGGAGTCAGCAGCGTAATTCAGCATCTGAACTGCGCTCCTCATCTGGACACACTGGGACTTATCAAGGTGAAGATGACTCCACAGCAGGTGAGGGATCTGACAGCAGCAGTACAGCAACACGGCAACATCACTAATCTGCTGTCATCCTACCACGTAAGATATCCAATTTTATCGCACTTTGTTTCAGTATTCTTTTTTTGCAGTTTTTTTTTCTACTCAGCTCCTGCCTTTCGCCATTTTCCTTTCTTTGTCATTTTTATACTCAACAAAACACAAGATTCAAGCTTACTATTGAAAACAAATTGCAGGCTTTAGCAGATTCAAAGTCATCGTTTCAAATTCATTCTTTTCAATCGATTAAACTAAGTCGAAAAAATGTTTAAACCGAAAGCAAGTAAATTAATCTGAAGGTGTCTTCCCTGTGCAAAATAATGGATCAGCGATTTCTCTGCGAGTCTGGTTCGGCAACTCGATATGAGCTCAGTTAACAAACTTCTGAATGATATATGTATTAACACAAAAATTCCATAGCATTAACATATAAATCAATTTTAATTCCTTACTTTTCATGAAATGATGAATTACAAGCATTAAGTCATAATATGTTCTGTTCATGTTCAATTCACAGGGGCACCCAACGACAGTAAAATATTTGTTCGGAGAAGCAAAAATTGCCTAGAATTTTCTATAACATGAAGACGGCTAGAAAGTTCTAGAGAACTATTCCATTCATGTAAAATTTTTGAACCTTATTTATTAAGTTCCCTATGATTTTTAATTTTCTCATTTTACTTACCAATTTGGGCTATTTTTCTTAGAAAAAAGGAAACCTAAAATTTTCGGATTCAAAAATGTGATGGAGAGAGGAATCAGGAAACGTCTCACCGACTTTCGTAATACGTCAAATTTCATCTAAAAATTTTCGGGAAAATAAGACTCAAGGCCTTGAAATTTCGAAAAGGTGCAAGTTCCCCTAGGATAACCGAACAGACACAAAGTTTACAGCGTCGCTTAGAATGCTTTTCTAGAGATCTAAAAGTACTAGCTCTGGATAGCCTCAAAAGTGTTTTCATTGCATTTAGGAGGAAACCTTCGTTGGGTGCCCCTGAATTCAAGCAAACAATTTCAAAAATTAAGAGGAAAAAGTGTCACCACTCACAATTTCACTTTTATCGCTAAGGTTTTCCTAAAATCAGCCAACTCAAGTAAAGTTTCTTTGAGATTCCAGGTAACGAAGAAGTCCTTTCAGAGCTGTTCTTTTGTTTGAATGTCCCTTGCGTTGCGGTAAATACTTGTCCTCCCGTAAGGGCCAATCGACATATTCACTTTTCCCCCGCTTAAACGCCAGCTGGACGTATAGGTCAGACAACCACCGCCCCCCGCCTCCTCCCGTTCTTAACGTTCACTTGAAATGTTGCCCCAAACGTCACTGTATTCAAGAAAGAATACCGGCTGACATGCACGTGCGTGAAGATGTCGACACACACACAATTTACTGCCTTTAAAACGTGGTAAAAACTTCATACTTTGAATAAAGCTTTCTCTTACCTGTTCTCTCTCAACATCTGCATAACTGCTTTTTCCTGTCGATTCTTTTGATTTCCTGAGCTGGAATCAGTTTACCCCTGGGGTTATTTTTATCCTTTAATTGCTTACCACTTAAAGAAAGGTTTAGACTACACTTTCGATCTTTTAAACGATACTTTAAAAGTTGAATGGTGTTAGTGTTATTGTGTGATTTGTTGTAGGATTTTATAGGGAACCCCAAGCCTGAACACGAATGGCCATCAGAAGAAGACTGGAAGTGGTGGTATCCTAGTCTCTCTTCTCACTCATCAAATGAATCACAGCCGCAAAAACAATAGGTTGGTCATCAACTTTGCTAAACAAAATGGAGTATAATATTTCCTGAGTTTAGTTATTTCTTGAAAAAAAAAAAAACTGAAAAAAAAACATTCCGTTTAAAAGTATGTTTTTTTTTCATTTTTTCAGGAGTTCACTTAGCTTAAATACTAGGCAAACGGGAAATGTGTTTTGTATCAAAGTAGTTTCTGGCAGTTGTCGTTTTTTTTTTTCGTTGTCACGATTTCATAAAAACTGATTCAAGTGAAAACGGTGGAGTTGAATGTAAGTCTTACTGATAATAATAAGTTGTTTCTGTTGTCTTAGGCTCCTTAGCTCACTTCTTTTAAAATCTTTCAGTCATACCAAAACGGTTGTCTTACAACCATGGCATTTAATTGTGGACCGTCCACAATTAAACGGTAACGGTTACCGTCCGAACAATATTGGAACGGACTGCCATCTGTTTTATAAGTTTTTTACCGTTCGGGAGGTCGATTTAATCGTTTTAAGTGCACTTTGAAAAAAATTGCTGATTTTCGTTCGTGAAGTTTATACAAGCCGGATTTTGGGAGAAAATGGGGATCTTTGTGATGTTTACTGACTTGCAAGTTTTACCGTTATCGCTGTAGTAGAGCATTTTCACGCAGTTTAAGCAAACATGGAGGTTGACGCTTGGATCAAACCAGTCAAAAGTAGACAGAGGTTGTCTTTGTATAGTCTTGTTTTGATAACTAAAAGAAGGGTTTCTTTTTGCTCAGTTATGTTATTGGCTCATCAACTCCTAGCCTGTTCAGAAAGTGGAAAGTGCCACTCTCTTCTATCTGAAAGCCTGGAACAGGCTCATCAACTTTTCTTTTCTTTTAGCCCTCGCACAGATTCTGGCAGAGAATTCCCCCCCCCCCCCCCAAAGTATTCACGACTCACCCATTCCCCGCTGACGAACAAGACACCGTGGGAAGCACATTTCCAGCCCCACCTGATCCTACTGGTAAGGTTTTAAGTCCCCTAGCCCCCCCCCCCCCCCCCCC